TTCCTTAATAGGCGCGGAATCAAAGGACATCACGCAAAGAGAAAGAACAAACGAAGATGATTAGAACGGTTGATATTTACCTGCGAAATGCTCTGCCCACAGCATATAGCCAAGAGGGAACGTTCCAAAACCCATAGAGGTAGATTTCACGTCGAACGCTTTTGTTATCTGCATAGAATACAATGAACCGGGCCTATCTCTTATGTTAATACGAACAACAAGAAGAGTTTCATAAGAATTTTGGGTCGTTTTCTAAGCACGTCATTCGGACAATGTAGAACGAGTAGATACGACAACGAGAACGGCGAGTTCTTAAGTTTGGGAATGTCAATGTACGGGGTCGAAGTACCCGTTTGCGAGCGTTCACCGACCGATAATAAAACAAGCCGCGCTCACCGACTGATAATAAAACAAGCCGCGCGGAAAGGAATCTACATAGCTAGTGTCTAATACATAGAGGCTGATGATTCTTTGTAATTTTTTCAATTTTAGAAATTCTTTACCTGAAAAAAAAAAAAAGGGGAAGAATTGGATTGCGATTTCTCGCAAGGAAATGAAAATCAGCGAGTTACCGAGCAAAACCTCTACATCCCACGGGAACGTGGTTGACGTACCCGTGATAGCACATTGAGTGCTCTAAGAATTTTGAACAAAATCAATCATGCTCGGGAGCATGGGATGATGCAGTCTAACATCAAATTCAAATTAGCCATCATGGTCGTGATTTTATTGTCCGACTCGTCGGCGGCAAATACACATTGATTAGAGGCACATCATGGCGACATGCATCGTTCATCTTTTGCGAAGCCGATGCAAACTTTTTTTGTGGAGCACTCACGTGATCGACCGCTCGAATAAGATCGGACCCGGCTACGGATCGGAATCATGACCAAGCGTTTCCGACCGTGTTGGCGATTCACGGAGGGTGGGCTGTTCATGCTTGAACACATGAACGAGTGTGGTGCGCGAGAGGAGGAACTGTGGATTTTGGATGTGACAATCTCGCAATCATGCGGGGCCAACGCCCCGTGCCCCAGCAGCACCCTCGCTTTGTCTCTTGATTGGTTCATTGTGTCGTGGGCGCACATGAAGAGCAGTATCATTTCCTTTCAAATGATTAGCCTAAATCATTCGAAACCAAAACGCGTAGTCGAATTTTGCGCTCGTCATTAACATATATCGAAAATGTGAGAAATTCCTCTTTCGCCCATGTGATCTTCCGAAAGGAATACAAAAGTCGAGATCGGTAGGCGGCACGTCTTTTAACTAATATTCTAAGGATCCTTCTGTTTTTTTTTTCTTTGGCCTACTTTATAAGAAAAAGTTCGATTTTTAAAGAGTATATAACACTCGCCATAAGTATCACAAGATAAGTTACCCAAGAGTTCATTACCACCGGGAGATTAACAGGTTAATTTGTCCCGTAACCGGGTGAGTTCCACTCACGCGTTCCATATTTTGATATGCCGGCGCCTGCACGCTCCAGCTCTCCATGTTGGGTCAATATCTTTTTCTTGCCCCGACCTTAGCAATACCCAACTTATTTTTACGCCTCGTGTTCAAGGTGTAGCGTGCTTTATAAGAAAAAGTTCAGTTTTTAAAGAGTAGGTAACACCCGTCATAAATAAAATTTGATTGCTCGACCGATATCGTGGAGTCTCTCTATACAAGAAAATCCTACGAAAGAGATAAACGACGACGCAATCATTCGGTCGCGATGAAAGATAGAAAAAACTCCGGCTTCGCTTTGCTTCTCTTAAGACCGTCCCGCGCCCACCACATACTTTATAGTAAAAAAATCTCGCTCCATCCATCGAGCAAAAAACGTCATTCACGTAGAGACTTGTCGAGAGGCGAAACAAAAGCAGCAATGTAGAGCGTGGGAGACAGCTAGGAGATGCGCGAGGATGCACCCAGAAACGGTAGCTCCCCATCCCCTCAATCATCTCTTCCCTCCCTCCCCACACTCCCCAAAACACACCCCCCTCGTTCTCAGTTCAGACGCGGTTTCCCTGCACTTACGCCCGTCCCCTCCCCCCCTCTTACTTTGTATTCCAACTTTGGCCCCTTTTCTTGAGGCCCTTTGCAGGCACAAACATCCCAACCCCACTTCTTTTCTTTACCGTGAAACCGCGCGCGTTGACAAAATTGCAGAGGCACTTCCGCGATCGGCATCCGATGCCCATCTGTCTCGCACCCGAAAACACCACGCCCACAAAAAAAGAAAGTCCATTTTCCCCTTAAATCTGCTACGAAGACACGCACATTTAATGATTGTCGAGCTAGGGCTGCGTAAAGAGAAGGCATCGACGGCTTACCGAAAACACGCTTAATCGATTCGTGCGAGCGAGAAGGTGGGGGGGGAGTCTTTTAGGACAGTAGCGAGTGGCTCGAGATTTGTTACGGGGCCGCTGATTACGGGGATTTTGGAGGGGGGTGGGCGGGCGTCGGGTCCCGCCGAGCACCGCACGTTGGATGCTCCGGTCTCCCCTCTCGATGGTGAGTGTCGTCTAGCTGTAGTTTTCGGCAGGCCACGACTCACGTTGTTGTCGTCGTCATCGTCGTCGTCGCGCGTCGTTTGGTTGGGTTTGCTACTACTTCTCGTTTTAATTTTTTTTTTGGGGGGCGGTGGCGGAGGACTGGATTCGGATCTCGTTGGACACATGACCCATGAAATCTTCTGATGGACCCGGGAATTATTTCGCCCTTTAACGTCCATCACCGCCGCTGTTCACGCCACGACTCCCGATTGACCCCAAAGGCGCGGCACGTCCACGCTTTTAAGCCCTTTGAATCCTCTACAAAATTCGTTACGTAATTGTTTCGATTGACGAGGATTTATTATTATTTATCTATCTATTTATTTATTTTCGCGGGACGTTCTTATTTTTTTCCTAGGTATGAAATTAATTTGTGGGTAGACTTTCATTTAGGAAGATGTGGGATCTAATATTTGTGGGTCTCTAATGTCTATTTAGTGGGGGTGGGGATCTAAGTTATGCCAATTTCACTTTTACGGAGCGGGTGCTTTAACTTTCTTTCTTTCTTTCTTTTTCCGTGCGATAAGCAAAAAGTGGTACACCCGGCATTTTGCATGCGTTCCCCGAAATGACCCCTGGCGACGTCACTTGGCCTCGGCACCGCTCCGTCATGCGCCGAGGTCGTTGGTGTCCATCCGCCTAGCGCCCAAATCTTTACGAATATTCTCGAAGATGTATTGAATATTTAGCAGCGCGATGTCTTTCTATTTTTTTCCTCGAGGTAAAAAATATTGATTTTTTCAGCTGCTAAAAAACCTTCTTGCTAAGGCCTTAATTCTGGTTTTCTTTTCCCATCTCTATACATGTCGATCATGTAATTGAGTGTTGAGAAGCTTGATCGTGCGTCGGAGTCTTTCGGCTCATATGATTTGTAGTATTGGATCAATGTCTCGTTAAGGCACATTCAAGCGTGCCAATGTGACTGACGATATGGTAATTTGCATGTTAAAGTACAAAAGTTAATGAGAAATTACTATAATTAGTTTTACAAGCAATACAAGTTTGCTTCCAAACTTTCGATAGATGCACAATACCCTCCAAACTTTCGTTTTGTTACCGTCGTTTTTTTTTTTTTCATCAGCATGCGCAATGCACATGACTCACGGAGGAGGGTAAAAGTACATTTTCATCTCATTCTTTTTCAAGGAAAACTCTCTTTTTACCACTACTTGATGTAAAAATCGAAGAAACGGAGAAAATGGGAGCAAACTAAATTAACTAATACTTCGACATTAGAAAAAATAAGTACCGTTTATCGTTTAATATTATAAAGATCCGATAAATATACTTCGCCTCTCTCACTCGCAATTGACCCGCTCCTCATCTTTTTAATTCCCGTTTTTACCTTCACTCTTTCCTTCTGCTAACTCTTTCGAGCTTTTTTTCTTTTCCTCTCTCTTTTTTTCACCCTTATTAATCTGAATTCAGGTCATTTCTTTCATTTTTTCATCCTCAATGTTAAAAAGTAACTAGGCCGGTGATCACATCAAAGCGATGAAAAGTCTCGAACATTTAATCACACCTTAATATTACCATCAGTAAAAAAAAAGAATGAGAAGACACGTTGCACTCTGCCAGGAGGGCCTGAATCACCACCCGGGGTCCCCCATTCAATAAGGGAAGCAGGAAGGACGCTTTTCAATTTACTACGGGGCCCGTTCGACCCCCCCAAAATATAAATAAATAAAAATTTACTATGGGGGTCCCACCCGAATCCCGCATTACGATTTTTCCTTTTCTTTTTTTTGTTTTCCTTTTAATAAAACGGAATTACGGGGAGTTGGAACGTGGTAGTTATTACAAATAATAAGCCGGAAATTTTCGAAAGTGATCCGGATCGACTCGCTTGATCTGTTCAGACGCTCATATATGCACGGTGTCATTTGTTTCAACATGGTCAATACTCGTATTTCAAGGGCTTTTTATGCATACGAATTTTAGAAAAAACGATACGCGCGCGCGCGGAAAAAAAAGGTAAAAAAGTAGATGGTAAAACAAAAAGCATATTTTGCCGGCATAGAAGCTATCGAATGTAAAGATATGAAAAATGACTCGCGATCCGGGTCGTCGTCGGCTATATTCGTGTTATATCCTGATTACGACACGACAGGACACGGACACGATTAACGTGGCACAGCAGGACTTGGAGTCCGGTGTGCACCAACCTTATGTATGACATTAGGTTTTACATTTGATGTAAATACATCACCCATTACTTTCTGTCCCGAATAAGCGCAGGGCAATAACACAAAAACAGCTACTAATGTTGAGCAGTCCTGGGAAAAGTGAGAAAAGAAAAGAGAAGAAAAAGAGAACCCTAGTGGAGATAGGGAAGGGGAGGAGACAAGGGCAGTTCCGTAAATTCCGAGCAAACTGCGGCCCCCCCGCCCAAACACAGACCATCTCCATAAGTAGTAGCCCCACCCTCTCTTCACCTTCGCACACTTCACTCCATACACGCACACACGCACACGCACTGTCTCTCTCTCTCTCTCTCTCTCTAGTGTCTCTCTTTCTCTCTCTACTGCGCTTGAAGCGAGGGGAAGAGAGAATGGCTCCGGCGAGCGCGGTGTTCGCGGCTTCCCTCATCTCGTTCTCGCTAATGTGGCTCGCCCACGCCAGGATCCCCGGCGTCTACTCCGGCGGCTCCTGGCAGACCGCCCACGCCACCTTCTACGGCGGCTCCGACGCCTCCGGCACCATGGGTAACCCCTCCCACTCCCCACCCACCCCCGGCATTGTTCGCCCCCGAGCAATGCCGGTCATTAGAGTTCCTCAAAACTCATTAACACATACGGAACCGGAATTTGGCACATTGAACCGGTAAAGGAATTGGACCGAGAACAGGACCGTCCGGTTCAACCGAAGTCCGGTCCGGTTCCGGAGATTCCGCTAACGTTGGCGTCTCGATGTGTGACGTTTAGTACAGTGTTTGAACAGAGCGGAGCGGATGATGTTAAACCCGTTAAAATTACTCTCGTTTTCGCTTTGAGATCTGCCTGTTCACTTCGCTCGTGGGAAAATGTTGCAGGCGGGGCCTGCGGGTACGGGAACTTGTACAGCCAGGGCTACGGCGTGAACACGGCGGCGCTGAGCACGGCGCTGTTCAACAACGGGCTGAGCTGCGGGGCGTGCTTCGAGATTAAGTGCTCGGACGACCCCAGGTGGTGCCACTCCGGGAGCCCCTCCATCTTCGTCACCGCCACCAACTTCTGCCCCCCGAACTACGCCCTCCCCAACGACAACGGCGGGTGGTGCAACCCTCCCCGCCCCCACTTCGACCTCGCCATGCCCATGTTCCTCAAGATCGCCGAGTACCGCGCCGGCATCGTCCCCGTCTCTTACCGCCGGTGAGATTCCGTCCCATCCTCTGTTTTACGGTTCAGTTTGGTCGTCAGTCGGCGGGTCCGACTTTCGTTATGCCGATATTTGCCTAGTCAAAGGAGTAGCGTGCGCAATTACTGCAAATGTACTTACCAGCATGCGTCAAGACACGCTAGGACTTAGGCGTTGAACTTTGTGATCATTAATGGGGAACTCTGTGCACACCATCGCGTGCCCGTGACACTTGAAATGAAAAGGGGTTGCTAGAACAGCATGAGATCTGTACCTTTGTTGAAGAATGTGGCTCCACCGAGAGTTTAAGCAAGCATTCGGAGTATGGTGAGAACTGTAGACAGATTAATGTTGGGGGTTAGTCAGTAATTACTTACACAGAGAGAGAGAGAGAAAGAGACGTGTTCAAAGCTTCTCTTGTGAGTAGCGACATAATGCAGGTTTGTCGGTACAAAGCATTTAACCAGTTGAAAAGTGTACGAGGTTAACGGGAATTCTATCGACTCTAGATTAACTTAATTAAGCGGTTTTTTCTATGGGGAAGGTGATTGGTTTGTGCTGTATGTATGTTGGTTGGATTCTGGCGCGTGCCTTTAATGCTCTTCGTTGTCAAACCGTCGGCGGAGGTTCCCATCCTCAGTCAGTTCAGTTCACCAAAGTGACCCTCATCCTTCCCCCTTATTTACCACCTCCTCTACCGAACTAACGCTCCGTTCCGTTTGAGACATGCAGTTAGTTAGTTGGAGATCGGTCTTTTGTTTTCTGGGGAGGCATGTTGGAGACGGTTTGGTATGTTCTGCGGTCATTTGTGCCGATGGACATCCAATCCAATGCCTTCTTTTGGGACCCCTCCCCTTTTGGTCGTGTCTCTTTCGGTGTTTTTGTTCTTGCTCCTTTTGTCCCTTCAATTTAGTAAATGGCCGTAAGCTAAGCCCGTGTTTTCATATGACAGAGCATAGCTCCATACCAAACAGACTCTTATTATATTTGCAACTTTTTCTCTGTTGAATATTCAAAACTCGAACCTTCTGCCTCAAAAGAGAAAGACCCCCTTTTTTAGTATCGGAGGCATCAAAGTTCAAACGAGTAAATTGGACTTATACGAAGACCCATAATGCATGGCAGTGTGGTTTGACCGTACAGTCAACGACAGGCACTGTGATCGTGCCAGGGTTTTGTGTGAAAACGAGTTGCTTGATTCGTGGACTAGTGAGAAAAAGCTGGCTCCAGCAAATGACTGACATGCCCTTGCTGTCTTGGACGTGAATTGCGCAGGGTGCCGTGCCGGAAGCGAGGCGGGATCAGGTTCACCATCAACGGGTTCCGTTACTTCAACCTGGTGCTGATCTCGAACGTGGCGGGGGCCGGGGACATCGTGCGGGTGAGCGTGAAGGGGACGAGGACCGGGTGGATGAGCATGAGCCGCAACTGGGGCCAGAACTGGCAGTCCAACGGCGTGCTGGTCGGTCAGTCGCTCTCCTTCCGCGTCACCGCCAGCGACCGGCGCTCCTCCACCTCCTGGAACATCGTCCCCGCCGGCTGGCAGTTCGGTCAGACCTTCACCGGCAAGAACTTCAGGGTCTGAGAGTTCACCGGTTGGGCCCCCACCCCCAAGGATGGCGCCATTTTCACACTCTCGTTCAGAAGATGCCCTGTTCCCATTTTTCTTTGTTTTTCTGTTTAACTCGAAAAAGGTGTTGGGGAATGTAAAAGTGAACAGACGGTCAGTAGACTCCTTTTTTGACTTTTTGATTGGTGGGTCTTTTTTGGTTTCTGCTTTTTCAAAAAAAATTTGGGGGGGGGCTGAATCGCTGAGCGAGTGGGGGGATTGTTTGGTAGTGAAAGTTAGAAGAGAGCCTCAAGGCTGACGAGGCGGCTGCATGCAGCCCGCAGCCTTTATGGCACCTAAGTTCTACCAGTAGACCAGTAGCAGTAATGCTCGAGCAAGTTTGAGTATATGTATTTATAATTCATATAATATATGTGATAGGTTATATATATCTTTATCTACATTATGTAACCAGCAAGTGTAATGTACTCAAATCTATAGTTGAATTTGGAATGCAATTTGGTTTGCCTCGTCCTCCTCCACCACCACTGTCCTTTTAGTGCTCTTTTCTATCTTTTGGAGTCTTATGCAATGATGTCTGTCCCGCCACGTATCTGTTCATCTGCCAATACCCCGCAACACACACTTGAAGGTCTCGTTGAACGTAGATGTCGAATAGGGGCAACTTATCAGCAAGGCGAGATTATTTTCTGTTTGAGGTTTTTGCGTGTGTAGAATTTACTAGGAGCGTTCTTGGATACTACATTGCATATCTGCATGTAGTATTTCGATAGAAAACAGAATGAGGCTGGAATATGGAAAAGATACTTGGCCTTAAGAAATTCAGAGTACAGGAAGGATATGGAGAAATAAAAGGATGGGGATTGTAAAAATTATTTCTTCGAGAATTATTGCTGTTATAATTACATTTCAATCAAAGAAATTCCAACAGGGTCACATCGGGAGAAGGACCAAAGACATCGACGAGAGGGAACCCAAAGTTAGCACATGGGTTGTGGGGTCGGGTCCCTCCTAAATGCTTTTCTTCACATGTGAAAGTGTCCAATTTTCTTCCGCATCCTCTTCCTTTTTTCCCCGTTCAAAAGGGGACAAAACGCCTTCGGATTCCCACATTGGATGCCCCCTCGGCCTCAACTCCGTACTCTCTTTCACCTTTCCCCCACTATTTCCCTCGTCCTTATCCCTTTTTTTTCCCCCGCGGTCAATTTAGTTTGGCGAACCAACCGAATCCAGCTTTCATTCGCCTAATCAAAGAATAATGACACAAATAATTTTCAAACTTTAATTCAATATGCAACGTAGTTTTTGAACTTCTAATTTATTTAATGTGATCTCTAAATTTTAGCTCAGACCCTCATATACGCACGCTGTCGTTCGTTTCAACACGTCGATCCTCATATCTCAACACTTTTTATGAATAAGAATTTAGGAAATCGATACCCGCGTAAAAATAAAAAAAAAGAGTAGATGGTAAAATGAAAAAACACATTTGCTGGTATAAAATGAAAAACACACTTGGCTCAGAAACATTGCATATATTTCTACCACAACACCAACAAACACACATGGTAGTTCGAGTCTTATATTATTCTTGCAAGATGCATCCCGGTTGATTTTGCTCCAACTTCTTCAAGAGAAGGAAACCATTTATTGTGCCTCGTCTTCGGCACAGCACAACCAGCATCCCACGCATCAACGTGTTCGGTGCAGTATCGTCGAATGCTCTTGTTGCTAGTTCCCGTTAAGTCTGTCTTCCCACCATTCTTGATAGCATGATTTCTGGCCATCCTGATAGTGTGCCCATGTCACACTACAAGACATGAGGAAATTCCTTTACGGCTTTTAGTGGATTGCGAAATTTATCGGCCAAGACGAAACTCCATATAATTTTAGAAACACGACAACCAAAGAAAAATAGGATTTTTAGGATTCCCAAGCAGAGCTACGCAGGCCGCACTCAGTATTCACAATCCCACACCTTCCAATGTAGCAAGATGAGCATTATCTGAAAAACCATAGCCAGAAGCCACTCGTTCCTAAACAACTTATTGAGATCATTACGACCAGATATGACACAAAAACTAAGAGAACACAGCCATACCATCATCCGCAGAGAATTTGCTTGTGGGTTTGCACATAGCAAACGATGCAGCTATGATAGTCATTGATAGAGAGGAATCAAATTGTAAATACACCTCATAAAGTCAAAGGGAAGATTGTTTTTTCCCCTTTTAGTCTAATTGAAGGGAACGGCAAGTACGTCTACTTCAAATGGCCTAATTCTACTCCTAGAATCTACCTCCAGTCAGCTTTAGAAATCAAGTATCAGTACTCAACAACTGCATCATGAGATGTGTTTCCGCAACAAGTAGGATGATGAAGATGCCAAACTCCCCACCTGAGTACCTTAAGAGTCTGCATCCAGCAAAAGCACCGTTAAAATGGAATGCATGTTCATAACAATGCCCATACAAGTGTCTGTGCTTGCAGAACACGCAGGCTTAGCAAGCCAAACATTTTGTTAAACAGGCACGTACACTATCGATCATTGATTCATTAATACTCCAAAAGAGTGTCCAGCTTTATTTGGGGGGAAGGAAAGTAATAGTAAAAAATATCGCACCGCTACAACATCTTTATGAACTTATGTACGCCATAGGTGAACAACTTTCAATGTAACTCAAGCTGCAGATGCTCTGCGAATACCCATTCTTTATTGCTACCGAAAAATTTGTACCTCTAATTTCTCTTCTTCCGGGGTTTCCATTGCTTGAGAAGGTAAGCAACTCCCTCTTTAAGAGATGCTTTTCTTCCTTCTCTAAAATGCCACAGCTCGGGCACGATGTACCTGCCACTGCCATTGTACTCATTCAGCTCTTCGATGGCCTTTGATACTGCCTTGAAGACCTCATCACCGTACTCATCCTTAAGGGCTTTTAGCTTTTCATCTTCTTCATCTATAATTTCCTGTGGAGCCAAATGACAAAGAGACTTTGAGAATTAGGAGAGACACCAATATGAACAGAAAAGGATTCTACACTAGAATACGTAAAAATCAGTCCGGGTTAACAAGGAACACAGTACAAAATGCATCAGCCAACTTTCATTTGTGAAATAACAGCGCTTGCCTTGAACCCATGACATCAAACTAATCAAACTGAAATGCAAACATGAATTAGTAGAGGCACCTATTCATTGCAACTCTTCTATTGGGTGACAAAAGATCATTCTTGGTGTGTGAAATAAAGTTGATTCGAAAAAAGCACCAACTCTTCCGAAGAACAGCTAACTATTAGAATGAAACATCGTAAAGAGCATAGAGTCCATTAATGTACAAGAATGCAGAAGAATGTTCATCGACATAAACTTGGTTTAAATATTGGTAACAATGTTATGTAAGAGAAATGCTGGCAACATTAGTTGGGCGCAAAGTGTACCTTGCGATGCTCTCCATCTGTTATGCCCTTAAAGGGGTACCATTCAGGATCTCTGAGATGGTCTTCCCACTTAGAACAGAGCATAATGGCCTTTTCATTTGCTTCTTCCGCGGCAAATTTTCTTTTTGCTGCTATGAGGAACGGCTTGCTGTCAAGTTCTCCCATCCTTTTGACCCCAATCATGGCACGACTTGTATTATTCCTCAATGTCTGTAGATCAACGAAATTATCATTTCTGGCAGCTCAAAATTCATTATCAGATCAAACGGTTGACATTTTTGGAAACGGGCAAATCGATGTGTATTATATTTGCTTTCGAACTGTTTACATGTCCAGCGCAGTAAGTTATGCCTCGAAGTGAAAACAAATGCACACACAAAAAGGTCCATGATAAAGATCCATCATCGTTCAATGCACACCATACATGCCTGAATTACGGATAAGGAAATAAAGTAATTACTTTAATCAGCTCCTTGCGAGCATCCTGCAATTCGTCATTGGTCTTCCGCTCCTTAACAATGAGCGTTTGACTAAGTTCTTCATTGAACTCCATCTCTTCTTCCTTTTCCTTTAAGCTTTCCTCAATCTCCTTCATCTTCTGTTTGAGGTCCACGTCTTCATCATCCTCCATGTGTTTCATAACTTGCAGAGCGCCTCTCATGCGCTCAATCTCCAATTCCAACGATTGTTTATCATCGAGTTTTCTTTCAAGCTCAAAAATTTTCCTGTGAAGTTTCTCCTTTTCGCTCTGCCATTAATAGCAACGCAGAAGTTTAGAAACTATTGAGCCAATACAGGTCTAGCTATTGCTTAAGCAGTCAAAAGTAAAAAAAAAAAAATACAGAAAGAAAGAAGGCAAGCAAGCAAGCACCTTCTGATCTTCTGCCAGCCTCATGAAATTATTGTCCACCTTCTGCTGCTCCAAAAATGCCCTTTCAACCTGAAACCAGTTTAACTTGAGTTCTTCTGTGGCAGCGCTAAAAGATTTACTTCTCCATTCCTTTTAGTGGGGTTGGTTGTGTTTTCTTTTGTTCTTTTGTTCTTTTTTATTTCCTGGTTTCTTTTTATAGACATCACAGGTTATGAGAGCCTTTGATGGTTTATTTCCCACTTCCCTTACCAATCTAGTCAATTACAAGTACTTTCTATATATTTCGAAGCATTCAGTTTCTCATTTGATACACAAAAGGAATGCTTATAATGGAGGTAACTTCTTCAATTGTTATTTGATGTTTAGACATAATGAGATCTTGTTACATGATATTTTTGGTCATATATCAACTGCACTGACCATTTCTGAAGTCTATGCTCAAGCTGAAGATGGATAAAGAACATATAGATGACACTTCATACCATTTCCCTATCATGTCTAAGCTTTGCCCTCTTGCCTTCATTTTGAAACTCTCGCAATTCCAACTCTTGTTCCCGCTGCTGAAGCTTGCGTTTTTGAGCTTGCAAATGCAGCGTCACGTTGTCATGCTCCAGGTATATCTTCTCAAGATTATTCCGGGCATTCTGCTGCATCTTTTTTATTTCTAGCAAAAAGGAAAAGAAAGAGTCAGTTCATTAGACAATTCTTTGCTAGTACTCATTTCCCAAAAAATACATTATACCTTCATTATGAGCCCTCAGCATTTCATCCTTTTGTGTCACTAAATTGTCGAGAGAATGCTTTGTTTCATTGTACTTGCTCTCCATCTCTAGAAGTCGCGAACTCTTGATCTCCAACGTCTTCTGTAAGTCAGCAACAAGCATTGACCGTTTGCGTTGTTCTTCAGCCTCTTTATCAGACAAAGTTCGCAAGTGCCCTTTCTTTCTAAGGTGGTCTCCCAGTATGCCTTTTGAATAGTAATCATCATCATATGCCAACCAACCAAACGGCTTGTCTCCCCTGTCCTTAGAGACATAAAAGTCCCTCCTCCCACGGCGCTCAGTCTCATAACTTTTCTCAAAAGCTATCGCATTACAGAAGCCCACCCAGTCCTTATTAAACTCAACAACTGCTAGTCCCGAATGACCCTGGTAGTTCCACAAGGGCTGCACCCTCACAGGGTTGAATCCTTTCTTTTCCAACTCCTCCCTGAGTTTGGTACCACTCTCTCCAACAAATCTTCCATCCTTAACTTCAGTCTTAATGTTCGCAATTACACCCATCCAGGGCCAGACAAACTGCTGATCGTTCTTAGCTGAAGAGAGTCTTAACTGCTGATCGTTCTTAGCCGAAGAGAGTCTCAACTGCTGATCGTTCTTAGCCGAAGACAGTCCTATGTTGGTGGAATCTTCGGCATTAACTTTCCTAGAGAAGTGCTTTCTAAGGTATCTCTCCAACGCCAAGTGCTTGCCAATCTCCTTTGTACTAATCCCCTTCGAGTCCTTAGAAATGCGCGAGGCGTGCTTTAAAAGATCTTCATAACAATAGTCACGCCTTTGTGCACTTCTGCAGAAAGGGCACTTATAAAGAGAATCAGAAACATTAATCCTAATCGAACGTCCTTTCAATTCTTGATAATATCGATCTTCATACTCCTCCAGCTCAGACCTCCTTTTTCTTGTTCCTTTGTCTTCTCTGCGGGACATTTTCGTTCCTACACATGAAAGAGAAAATGAAAAGACAAAATCAAGATGAGCATCGTCTAAGAAAACAGGCCACTCATTTCTAAACTTCTCGAAATGATTTCAAACAGATACGACACAACAACTAAGAGAAGACAGCGAGACAGTCATCTGCTGAGGATTTGCCTGTGAGTTTGCCCAAAGCAAACATTTTAGCTATGATGATCTATGACAGAAACAAATCAAATTGATTGGTCATTCCATTTTCCCGTCACTGATTACCCTGATAATGCACAGACTAAACTCCTAACGAAATCCTTCGAGCAACAACACCAGGACAACAAAGGACAAAAATCGGGCCACCTTAACAAGGAAACATGCACAGCCACCATGGTGGGGCAAATGCTTTCCCACAATTCATCGGGAGGCAAACCGAACGCCACCACGAGTCAGCCTTACGTAAGGAAAACGAACAAAATTACTTCCTTTCCTTCTTTAGAGAATCAAACGGCGGCGCACGTGACTCAAACACAATCTACAACAAAAATCCATCGAACGCAACCTATCTCGCCTCGTCGCTTGGAGGCATACACAGGTGCTCGCCAGGCCAAGCGAGCCGCGAAACCCTAAACCCACGGGCCAGACGCTACGCCGAAGCGCAAACGGATCGGCGTCGCGCGCGCCGCTGCCCCGAAGAGAACGGGGAGCGACGGAAATGGAACGAGAACGAGAAGAATCGAGCAGGATGAGTACCTCGGAACGTGATGAGGCGAACGAGACGAGGGACGAAGGAGAAAAAGGGAGCTCCGGCGAGAGAAACGCAGAGCGCGATCGTCGTTCTTCCCTGCGATTGGTCAGGCGCTGGACGTCCGCGATATACGCATTTGAAGAAACCTCATGCTTTTTTCCGCACTTTGCCGTTTCGGGAATTGGCGTCCCCGACTCCCGCGACTGGGTTTTAACGAGGTACTCGCTCCGCTGTAGAGTTCGGTGGACCGAGGGGAAGGTAGAATGGGATGGTGGGCCCGTACTGTGGATTTCGTGGGCCTACGATGCAATTGGTTGGAAGAGGAGAAGAGGAGAGAGGGGTTCTTGGTCCCAATCGCCACGTGAGCAAAATGCCACGTCGGAAAGTAAAACAAAAAACAAAAAAAAAAGACTCAAAACAATTAAGAATTTGATTATCCCGCCGTCTGTGGGAATCGAACCCACGACCACATGGTTAAAAGCCATGCGCTCTACCGGCTGAGCTAAGACGGCTTTGCTGTAGATTATTAAGTGCCTATAATTGAGATTCAATGATAAATCCGCGGACCAGTCTCCAATCTAAACAGAGAAAATAGGGTCGCGTGTTATTTCGACAACTAAAGTCCATGTACGGATTGAGTACATCCATTACAGCAAATCTAAGTATGGTTTGCGTCTCTTCGAACCCTCTTCGGCATATGAGCACTGCTGCTAGCTTCCTCCGTGTACAAATCCCAACGAGACATTGCCCCAAGTCCTACTAGGTGTGTCTCTCAACTTTTAATTAGATCTCACTGTTACCTCAGGTTTAAGGATGATTCTCGGGGTATGCAGATCGTCGTCTCTACTCTCATTACCAGTTGAAAACAATCTCTGACAACCTTACCCTTAGTACGATTTAACAAATATTTCAAAGCTTCGCTAGCTATATAAACAGACAAAATCAATAATCTCCACAGTCCACGGTCTTCTGCCCACTTCAAACGCGTTGTCCTTCTCTCCTTCTCATATCAACAGTACTCTCTCCCTCCCTCTCTCTCTCTCTCTGTAGAACGCCGGATGTCCGGAGTGTGGCTCTTCAACAAGAACGGCGTGGCTCGGCTGATCCCGAACCCGACGCGGGAATCCTTCGAGCGGAGGGAGCCGCACCACCCGGGCACCGCGACCGCCCCCGGCGCCCGGCCCAGGGTCCTGGTCTACGTCCCCGCCAACCACGTGATCAGGTCCCACGCGGAGCTCGAGCAGCGGCTGGGCGAGCTCGGCTGGACCCGCTACCACAACGCGGCCACCGCGAAGCCCGACCTGATCCAATTCCACAAGTCCGACCGGTCGGCTCACTTGATCTCTCTCCCCAGGGACTTCGCCAACCTCAAGACCCTCCACATGTACGACATCGTCGTCAAGAACCGATCCTTCTTCGAAGTCCGCGACCCTGAAAATGTTGCACCATCCGTTTAGCCCAGCCAGTAGTAGCTAAGCTAGTTTCTTGGTGACAACGTAATTACTTTCAGCAGGATTAACACACCAATTATGTAGCGAACACAAAGGAGCAAATTAAGAGCTATATCATCAGTCCTAATCACAGTGTTTTACTGATAGTGTCCTGTATGCAGTTTTAGGGCATAGAGAGGTGCGGACATGAATAAAGTCATCGGTATTGTAAGCTAAAGGTTGAAATGCATGGGGCTGATGCTTCGTTATTATTTTGGGGTTGATGGTATCGCCAACTTTCCATGGGTTCGATGTGTGCTTTTCTTGTTTTCTAGATGGTTACAGGACCGACCGTGACTCATTTTGACGTCACCGTTTGCTCGTTTATTTCTGCAAGCACGCCTTCCCATAATTGTAAGGATATATAATTAGCTGCGTGGCCTCTGCCCAACTACAAGTGAATGTTATTGATGGTGCTAATCATAAGAGAGATTTGGCTTTCACGAATAGACTAATATTTCGTCACATGAAAAGCATATGGGAAATCGCAATAGTAGTAGTAACCGGTCTTCGCCACGAGAAATTTCTTCTTAAAGAGATTCATTCTCGCCGAGATAAAAGCTACTAAACACTACCTACATTGGAGGTGAGCATGATCCGGGTGGGCGGTCTGGGTGGGCGATTCCCACCCTAGAACCGGAAATCGCCCGCTAAGGACCGGTTCCGAAAAATTAGAATCAGAAACCGCTCGTTGGTTCCATGGATCCACCCGGGAACCGGTTCCACTAGCCAAGAACGAAGATGGAAAGACGGAGACAGAGACGGAGATGGAGAGTCGAAGACAGTGAGGTGAGTATCGTCCGAGAAGAGTGAGAGAGTGAGAGTGAGCGTGAGATAAAAGCAAAAGAAGGTGTTTCTCGGCTCAATATGAGACTATGAACATCAAGTGAGTTAGGTTTAATTTAAGGATTTATGATTTTTCTCTTTTTAAAAATATTAAATATATATTATATATTATATTTATTATTATATTACCGGTCCGGTTCGGATACGCGGACGGGCGGTTTCATGTCTGGAACTGGGAAACGGACCGGTTCCGGGCGATCCCTAGCTGTTCAGGTGGTTCCCGATTCTTTTGCACACCCCGAACGTACATACGGACATTGAACTGTCTTGTGCAAATACGACAATACATCATAACACGGCACATGCGCTCATTCATGAATTCATTCAAGCTATATATGCACAAAACATTGTGGACCTAATCGACTTCCGCTGCTCTCACTCGCTTGCGCATGACAAGGCAATTATTCGCATGTGATGTGAACTAACATAACGGGATATTATCGACCCGTTCGCAAAAACATGCCATATTGCTTCAAAGCTTGGGCTTCCACGACCACCACAACCAAAGAGAGCAAGATCAAATAGCTCCTCTCTTGCCCGGCAAATCAATCCAAAAAAGAACAACAAAAAGGGGTTAGCATGTCTCGCGGTTCATGTTCATGACTAGCTAGCCACATGTTACAAAACCCTAGGCTCGGAATAGGTAGCTAGTGGTGAGGGTTCAATGACCGGGAAAGGAATAAGGTAAAAAGAGAAAACAGTCGAGCTACGACGACTAGCAGTGGAAAGCCCCTCCCTCCTAGTCCTGAAGACGACGCAGAGAGGAAGAGCAGAGTTTGGAGGGGGTACGAATGTGTTAAAGAGGGACAGAGAAGGACAGTGTTGGAAACGAAACTAGATACAGATCTTAAGAGAGAGAGAGCAGAGAGCAATGGCTATGGAGTAGCAGCTTGGTGGTGATTAGACGTTGCAATGCAAGGATCTGCAAGGATGGGGGGGAACTTTTTCTTCTGCGGGGTGTCATAGGCATGTCAATGTCACGTGCGTACGGAGGAATCGGATGAGCCTTCCCCCTCTGCGCTTTCCTTCGACCGGTCAGCTTTTAACCTATCCTTTCCTACTCTCTGCCCCCTCACCTATTCTATTTCTATCGATCTTGGTTCGTTATCCTTGTCCTTCTCTTCTCTACTGGGGTTCTCTGTCAGTGCTCCGTCGGTACAAACACATACAAAGACCAACGATCGTGTCATTGCACTCTACGATGGCCCCTCTCCATCTCCAAGAACGAGGAAACATGGAGTCGGAAGCGATTTCTTGCCCAACGTAATAAGGTGATAATCTCATGGCGTTGACATGGGAGGATTGATAGAAAGTTCGGCAATGGCAATGGCAATGGTTTCGGCGGCCGATTGATCGATCCATGACGTGTTTATTGCTATTACATAGAATTATTCCTTTCACTTGAAACTAAAAACTTTCATATTTGACGATACTATAGTTTCATGCTTCGCAAGATTGAGAGCAAAGTTGTGTTCGTTGGCGCTTTACAAAGTTTGATGCAAACATTGTGTCCGTTGATACTTTGCAAAGTATGATGCAAAAGTTCTGTCCATTAATACTTAGCAAGGTTTGGAGCAAAAATTGTGTTCTTTGGTACCTGCAGTTGGAGAAAAAGTTGTGGCATTTCGCAAGGTTTGGATTGTATCCATTGGTATTTCGAAAGGTTTGGAGCAAAAGTTAATTCCATTGGTAATTCTAGGGCAAAAGTTGTGTCTATTCGTCAGGTCTTGAGCCAAAGTTATTCCCGTTGATACTTCGCAAGGTATGGTGCAAAAGTCGTGTGCATTGGTGTGAACTAACTTTTAGGTACAATCTCAAGTCTGTCTTGAACTTTTTTTTTTTGGTTACTCCCAAATCTGTCCACACATTCAAAAATCACAATTGCTTTTTTCAAAATTATCCACGTCAGGGTCAGTTAGAGATCTATTATCAGAACTCGTGTCTTCGTTAACACTCTCACGTTCGTATGAAACAACAACAACCTCCTAATGATAATTATTTTGACAAAAAAAATCAGTGGCGATTTTTGGACATGTGGACAGATTTTGGATTAGAGTGAAAGTTGAAGATTTTTTTTTAAACAAACAAAAGTTCGAGGCAAAAATTGGAATTTGACTTAAAGTTGAAAATTTTAAGGATATTAGCTGTGACGCCCCAGAACGTCACGTATGACACGTGTTTTTTAATATTATTAATAATTTGGCCAACGGAAGTCAAAGTCTGAACAGGTTTTAAATATGATTATCACACAAGTTTAGTCAAAATACTTTTGCTTCTTATTAATAACACTGATCAGATTTACATTTCCAGACAAAACATCATGTAAGTACAAAAAACAAAAATCTAGGTAGGTCAAGGTTGCCTATCTCCATACTAGATTCTACTCCGAAAGTCTGCCTGGACTAATGTCTGATGACATCACGGATTGATAACTTCACCCTCCGGTGCAGAACCATCATCATCTAGGTCAAAGCTCCTCAATGGGCCAACTAACTCGCCATCAAGTTAAAATACCAAGCAACAAACAGATAAGGAACCCATTCTGCCAAATCCACGTCAACCCAAATAGTAGAGCTACACTTGGTATAAACTGCTTCAAACTCAGTCACAAACACATTTTCATAAACAGCTTTATGATATACGGGAACTCCAAAACGTAGAGGCTGAGGAACATCCATCCTACAAGTTTGAAAAATAATGGGATGAGCCGAGGTCCAGTAAATGAAATCTCTAGTTTTAAGTTGGGAAAGTCAGCTTACCACTTCACCTGGCATAAACCACATGCATACATAACAAACCGTACACATAGAACTCGAATGTATGTTATACCTTTTCCGACTGGATGTGCCACAAAATATGAGCAATTCAACATTTCAAAATACTTTCACACAAACGCAAGCATATGATGTAAAACATTCATGCTCAAGCGTTAGGTTCATTACTTCATCCTCTCGAACACTCTCGGGGCATCTCGACCAACGGGGCATCCCAACTCCGAGGCATCCCGATACACCCTTCGGGGCATTTCGACCAACGGGGCATCTTGACTCTCGAGGCATCCCGACACACGAGGCATCGTCACCGTTGAATTTTTTATGGGTGACGAAATTTATATCATTCTCATGCAAGCCATGACAACCAAGCATTTGCATGCATATACTCACCTTCTATACATCACATGTTATTTAAAGCAATGAAATGCATCAAAAGGCTAAAGTCTACTCAAGTTCAAAAAGTAATATGGATTCAAACTCAAAAAGGCTAAAGTCTACTCAAGTTCGGAAAGTACACATATCCAGATTTTGAAAATAAAGTCTACTCGGGTTCATAAATAAGTACATTCAGACTTTGAAAGTAAGTTCTGGTCATTTTTTAAAATAGACATGTCTAGATTCTGACCGTAAAGTCTAAGTAGTTTTAAAAGTAAATTCTTAGCAGCAAAGTTTGAACAGTTTTAAAAGTAAAGTCTAAGCAGTTTTAAAAGGAAAATATGAGCAGTTTTAAAAATAAAGTTTGAGCAGTAAGTATGAGCAATTTTAAAAGTAAACAGAACCAGAATTTGAGGTTAAAATCTGCGTAGCTCATAAATAAACAGAATCAGAAGTCAAGTTTAAAATCTGTTCAACTCAAAAGTAAACAGAATCAGAATTTGAGTTTAAAATTTGTTCATTTCAGAAGTAAACAGAATCATCATTTACACTAACCTAATATACTTCACTTTGAGTAAAACGATTTTCTACCCTTTTAAACATACATAAAACTACCAAGGCAATTTCCACAATCACCTCAAAGATTTACACGTTCAGATTTAACCATTGCATTTGCCCATTTTCAACACACTATAAGAAAACAAATCACATCCATTTGAACATGTACATAACTAGCAAAGCAGATCCAACCATCACCATATCTTCACTATTATCACACATCAGAATAGCATTTATCAAGCAACCAAGTTAAAAAGTGTCAAGTAGATTTAACTAGCATAACTCTAGAGTCTTCACTTATCTTGTGCAGAATTTGAACACCCAAAAGTTAAAGCTCTCCTATAGATTTTTGGATCGGGTGATGGTGAAAGTAGAAAGTGAAGAAGGGAGTTACGGTTTGAGGTAAAAAAATTTCTTCAGTGTTTACCTAGATAAAATGAGACAGAGGAGTAGACGTTGAGGCGGATAAATATATTGCACTCACAGGTGACACCTTCTTTTTCCATCACGGCCAGGTGTAAGAAATCAAGAGCTTAATCGGAAGGAGTAGTGGCCAAGGAAAATGATTGCTTAGGCTAGGTGTCTAACTATAACAGAAGCTTGGCTTAAGAGGACAAGTGGCATGTTTCATCCTTCGGGGGAAGAATAGCATTAGTGCCAAAAGTTGTG